GCTCCAGGGAGGTCGTGGTGCCACCAGGGCTGACCTGCAACTGGCACTTTGGCCACCCATAGCCACAGCCCCACAGGAAGGAATAAGGAACATGGGGACAGTGGGTGGGGCCGCAGCTATGCCGAGGGAGGAGCAGCAGGGCCAGCACTTTGCTTCCTCGTGGGCTCCGGGTGGTGGCAACCCAACTGGCCCACGCCTGGGAGGGGGCCGTGCACTGTCAGTGTCCAGGGTTAGCAGTTCTGGACACCTGGTGACGTTTTTATTAATAAAGAGAAACACGTTTATGCTTTCAAATACCATACTATCCCCAATTTTAGTCAATTTGTAAATTATAAATTATATTATTTGTGCTATAGTTTGTGGCATAAATCTTACTAGAAGCATCGACCCTATTAAAACAAAAGCATGTAAGAGCTATGGGTTTCCCACAGGGCACTGCACAGCCTGTAAACCTTTTCCTTAAACAACAGAATGTTTCTGACAAACTGTCCTCTCTCCCATGAAACTTTTCTTGAAGAGAGATGTGCGTTTTAACCATAGTGTGGGGCAGGTGCAGAGCAAACCTGCTCATCACCATCTCAGGAGGGGGGGACGGCTGGTGGTTATTCTGGCTGAAGCACTCCGGGAGGCCCAAGCTGAGCGGACAGTTGTGTGCCCCAGGCCTCCCAGGCCATTGCTGGGCCTCACTGAGAGGGTCTCCTCCACAGAAAAAGTCACACCAGATGCTGGATGCACAGACCCCCAGCATGCCCTGAGGGAAGTGTAAAATGCCCTTAAAATGTTCATATTTAGTATTCCTGAAACACGCTGTCATGGACCCCTGTACTTCCAAGCCATCTTGGTGCATCCTCAAACGCTTAGTTCTTGAACCTCGTCTGTTCACAGATATGATTGAATTTCCTGCAGGGGGAAAGCAGTCAGATTACACACAAAGGCACCAGAGAATTATTCAAAGAAGCCAATTCTGAAATTGCCCGCTGGACGATCACATGAGAAATTGTGTGCATGGGGGGCTCACAGCAGCATACGTTTAATACTATCACAGAAACTAACCAAAGGAAGCTTTCTTTTCTCCTTTTTAAACTTTAAAATAGAAATTGAAATTTTAGGTAATTTTCTTGGAGAAGAGACTCAAAGCTGCGTGTCCTCAGCATCCCCATGACACTGATGGACACACCTACAGTTTAAAAGTGGAGGTGAGCTTAGCCCTAGCCCGTATGGCTCAGTGGAAAGAGCATCGGCCTGCGGAATGAAGGGTCCCAGGTTTGATTCCGGTCAAAGGCACATGCCTGGGATGCAGGCTCAATTCCCAGCGTGGGGCATGTGGGAGGCAGCTGATCAATGAGTCTCTCTCATCGTTGATGTTTCTATCTTTCTCTCCTTTTCCCTTCCTCTCTGAAATTAAAAAACATATATTAAAAAAGAAAAAAGTGGAGGTGAGCTTATTCCTTTAAGAGCCTCTAGGAAACATCTGATGAGTGACCAATTTAGAGCGAACATAGTCACCTGCTCACAACACCAGCGACAGAACCCAGTGTGCAATGGCACACACATGAGCCCGTGGCTTGGGAAGGATGGTCTCAGTGACCATGGCCACTGACCTGGAAATGAGTCGGCTGGGAATGACGGCTGTGCTTACAGGGCTGGAATGTGGAGAACATTTCAATGCAAGTGTTTCATTTAATGAGATAACAGGAGAGCACAGTTCCCAAATGACAACCCTACTTTGTATACTGCGTAACTGAAGTAGTATATTTATAAGGAGACTAGAGGCCTGGTGCACCAATTCGTGCATGGGTGGGGTCCGGTTGGCCTGCCCCAATCCGGGCTGATTGGGGCCGATTGGACCAGGCAAGCCGGGGGGAGGGGCCGCGGGTGTCTGGCCGGCCCCGCCCCCTGGTTGAATTCCTGGTACAACTCCTGGTCGAGGGGATAATTTGCATATTAGCCTTTTATTACATAGAATTATATAGGATACTAGCTGACTAGTTCACAAACATCCCTAAAAGCTGAGATAGCAACTTGTCCAAACACTTGAAAACTTCAGTTGGGAGAACAAGGTCTGCCTCCCTTAGGACTGTCAGCCCCCTCCAGCCGTGAGGACCCGAGCGGACACTGCCCCGCCAGGCGCACAGCAGCACTCACATGGCGTGGTGGGCCTTCACCTGAGTGCGGCAGTTGCGACCCCAATAGCAGTCGGGACGGGAAGTCACAGCCACTAGGAGAGAAAACCACAGTGTGTAACGTGCCCCACACACACTCAGCCTGGGGGTTCACCTGGAGCTCAGGGGCAGCACTCTGCTTGCGCATTCCACTGGTTTCCTCTCCCTGTTCCAGGAAAGGGCAAAATGCTCCCTGAAAACCCACGCAGGAAACGAGGGCACTCCAGCGGTCTCCAGGGTGTTTTGTGCATCTTGTTTTAGAAACCCACACCACAGCCAACGCCAGGGCCTGAGCTAACACCAGACGGGCGATGGCCCTGACACAGCACGGCACTCAGGCAGCCTCTGCCAAGAATACCAACAAAGCCAGACAGAGTTTCTATCTATTATGCCAGAGGGTAGAAGCCACAGAAAACAGAAGTGAGATGGGTGGGGAGGGGGTTCCTTACCTGGCAACTCAGAGGCCGGAATGTTCTGCCGATACTGGTAGGCCAGCTCCCGGAAGCTTCGCAGGCCGCAGCAGTAGCACAGCACGGTGCTGCCCGTGACTCTGTAATCTGGAATAACACAGCCTCATGCGGGCATGGCCAGACACCAGGAGCATCAGTGTCCACAACAGCAGGACATACGTGGCCATGCAAACGAGTGGGGAACTAGCGTGCTGATCCATAAAAGGGGAGACAGCTAGACGTTTGGGAAATAAGAACAAAACCCATCCAGATGCCAATGTAATTCCTTACTGCAAAACAAGTCCACTGGGATTAAAAATTTAAATATTTTTTTAAATCCAAAAAAGTACTGAGAAGAATAAATATAACTTTTCTCTTGAGCTACTTCTAAGTATGCCACCAAAACCACACGCACATAAGAAAGGGCCTGTAACTTGAGTGCCCACAGCAAACATCACAAAGGAAACCGTGCAAGGAAGGTGAGAGCCAGGGACCATGGACAGCACCAATGTTCTCCAGAGGAGCTTACCAGACAGTAGGAACACACCCCTCTGCAGAGCCACCAGGCTCTCAGTCAGCACATTCTTCCACGTCAAACCCCTGGCTGCCAGGTAGTTCTGTGATGGCAAAACAAGGGGAACAGGAAAAACAGGAGCTTGGACAAGAGAGTAAATGGTTGTAAAGGCCCTCAAAGGTGGGCAAATAAAGCCAAAGGAACTGTGGCAGGTCTTTGTAGAGGGCAGCCGCCGTCTTTCTGGGGCCTGCTTCCAATATGGCATCATGCCCATAAACCAGTGCACAGGATGCGTGTCCAGATGTTCCTTCAAAGCCTCAGCAGGCAGCCGGCGCCCAAACCGCCAGTGCAGTCACACACACTCTATCCTCTGCAGGGCGTGCCGAGCACAGGAGTGTGAGCCGCCAACCTTGGCCAGAGCCACTGCAGGGTAGCAACCAGCCCATGAGCAGGGGACCAGGAAGCTGAGGGTCTGGGTCTGCACTCTGCCCTTCACACGCGGAGCTGCTCGGCTCCTGACATGCAAACCCACATGAAGGGCCACGTGCACATCCACCCAGGACAGAGGTGCTCAGGGGCGTGCGTGCAGGTGAGAAGGTCGCAGTCCTAGGGGATGCTGCAGGGAAATGGGGTGAAGCTAAGTCCGTGGCGAGGGACTGATGTGCACACTGCAATTCCAAGAGCCGGGCTTGCCTCCTGTGAGCA